CTCATTCTACTTTTCGCTTACATGTGAATCGGATTATAGTTGATAGATTATCAATTTGAGATCGTTTTCAAAATTTAAATCCTTCTACTTTCTATTTAAGTTCTGTAAATTTCTTCAGCCCCAATGCGATTGAAGATCTACTGGGAACTGAAATTAAAGGGCACGCAGTGTGATTTAAGGACACGAGATTGATTAACAGATGGGTGCTTTTGTGCCTGTCTACTAATTTCACCTCCTAATTCTTGCAATTTTTAAACTTGAATTTAAGCCCTTTTGACATACTCTGTTTGAGACCCCTTTCCCCAAAAACTCATTTTCTCCAATCAATCCAAATTGATAGATGCCAAGAGTGAAATAACCTATATTTTTTAGATGCTTCTATGGGAAAAATTGATAATTACGGATTTAGAAAAATGAAAAAAGTACGAACGTCAAAATTACAAAAAAAATTGAAATCTTTGAGTTTTGGATGATAAGAAAAAAAAAAAAAAAAAAAAAAAAAAAAAAAATTAGTCACAATTAATTACCTAATTTAACTGGATTTGGTTTCCGTTAAACTCTCTCTCTTCAATTCAAAATCCTACACTTTCTTTAGAAACACACACTTCTGCATATGTATCATAGTCTCCTCGTCCCATATAAATAGGCTTGTTTCTATCATTATACAGATTAAGAAAATATAATTAATATGATTAAAAATAGAAATTTTCTTACATTTTTCGGATATGCCCCTATATTAAATAACGATTTAAATATGAATAATTCATATTTGTTGATAACAAAACATATTAAATTGTGATCATATTAGAAAACTAAAAATAAATTATATATTTAAGGCACATTTGGTATCCATTTTTTTCAAAATGTATTTTTCTCTCTCTTCTTTTCAATCACACATTCTTTATTAAAATAATATTACACGTTAATAAAAAAAATTTCTTATTTTTCAACCACACAAATTTATATCAACTTACTATTGAAAAATGCATTTTTACCTAAAAATGTCTCCCAAACACTCTTTTAATAAGAAAAATGACCTATAATTTAAGGAAATATGCTACTTGTGCATAATACAGTATACGTACCGATATCCATCTCCTTCACATGAAGAGAGATCCACTTTGAATAAATTATATTTTATTCAAAGTTGGTTCCCTTCATGTAGGGGGTAGACACATGTATGTACATCCTGATGTACGAGTAACATCAATCTAATTTAAGATAGACGAAAAATAAAAGCAAGCCTATCATAATGTGACAAATGGAGTAATATTTTTTTATATTGAACTTGAATAAGGGGCCTCAATTTCATGTTTTCAAGTCCGTAAAATTCAAAACTCAATATTTGCAACACTCATTGTTCGAGTTTGGTTTCACCAAGTTGGCATTGCTTGAAGGAAAGTCTTACACACCGATTCAATGTCACCATTTTACTTTCAATTATTCTTGAGGTACAGGGAGGGGTTCATAGAACGGAATCCCTACAAACCACACACAGGGGGATGGGGGGGGTATTTTTGTAATTTTTTACCATGTTCTGTAATTCGTCTGTGAAGAATTAGTCTGTTTCATTTTATGGCCGTGACCATGATTGCATGATATCCATATGAAGATGAGATAGAACGATAATTATTTTAATTTTCTCCATATAATCATCGAATCTGTGTCCCTAAGATCGTTCATATAAAATCGTTTTTAATTCTAAGCACCAGTGGTTGCAATTTGATAATTAATAAAAGATACGTATGATATAACGTGATTCTTCTATTTCCTCATGTCACTGTACAATTAATCATTGGTATGATTGTTGTTGGCCTGTGGTGGTGGTTGTTTTATGGCTGGGACTCTTCCCTCGTGTTATGTAGTTATAATGAAGTTTGGAAGTAAAAATCTTGGAATAAAACTCCCTGTCCCCAAGCCGGGATAGGGAGCGCTTCTGTAAAATCTTGTGAACCCTATTTAAAAGAATATGATCTTTGTTATGTAGCTTAAATGCTATAATTTCGTGTGTCGCACAATATTAATTTTATAAGATTTAATGTGGTGTGTGATTTTTTTATTTTTTAAATTGTGACCTAAAAATTTCTTGTATCCCGCATACTAAAATTTTTTGACGGACTGTGAGGTCAGTGATAATCAGGATTACAAATTGCAAAGTTTAGTGATGAATGTAATAATTTTTTAAAGTTTAGTGACCTGTGAAAACTTTTTGCAATGTTTAGTAACCATTGGAATTATTATCCCAAATGTATCACGAATTTTATTTGACACACCATGTGTGGTGATTTACATCTACCAAAATGCAACTTTTGGAAAAATAATAATTTAAACTTTTGATATTTTATTGAAATCGATGACCAGACAAACAATTTAGCCAATATTTGGTTTAACTAAAAAAGTTGATAAAAATCTAGGTCAACAATTAATTTTAACAATACATTTCATAAGACTCACAATTTTTTTATTAATTTTTAGCCATATATTTCATCATTTTTTTTTATTAAAATCTACTAAAAAATGATTTTCAACTAAACCAAACAAGAGCTTAATTTTCAAAATTTCAGTTCCATTTTCGTTTAAAAAACCAACTCTTTAGCGGAAGCCATGAAAATGACATTTTTTAAAGGGTTATGTTAAAGAAACAGGGAGGCTGTCAGCCTCCCTTACCGACAGGGGCGGAGCCAGGATTTTAGTTCAGTGCGGGCAAAATTTTTTTGAAGACGAATGTCGAGGTTTTGGTCGGGGATTTATTGACGATAAAAAAATAAAACAATAATATATCAATACTAAAAACGACATAATTTATATATTACACTTGTTTTTTGCGAGTTTTCATACATTGATATCGTTGTATAATAACTTCATTATTGAACCTGAAAAATATATCTTTCTCCACATAAACAATTGTACTATCATTCATCTACTGATCACCCAATTACTACTAGGAGTGAGAGTAATTCGAGATGTCAAATGAATCACAAATACTGGAAGCAACTCAAAAAACTAGTGCAATTCACAATTTCACAAAATCAATTCACAATCTCACAATGCAATATATACTATTTCCAAATACTTGGCAACTTGAACTTGCAATCACAGATTCCCAGAGAGCCAGAGCCCAGAGGCAACAATGAACTAGTGGTCCACTGAAAGTTTGTGCCGCTTCGAGTAATTAAAGAACAAAGTGCTAATTTAATATGTTAAAAACAAAAAACAAAAAAAATTTGTTTATTACAATTTACACAAATTGAAATAACCAAAAAAAAAAAATAAGGGAAAAAAAATTTGGGGCTTCGCCTTTTGCTTTTTGGAATCTGGCTTCTTCTTTTGTCGGTTCGGCTGGTTGGCGTTGGCACTTGGTGCCTTGGCGGAGCTGAGGATGTAAAGTCGGAGTCAGAGATGTGAGATGTCAAGATGAGAGTTTAGAGTAGGAGATATACAATAATGGACTGTTGGAGAGGGAAAGGGAACGACGGTTGTACTGTGACGACTGTCGAAGACGGCGGTTGACGGAGAGGGAAGATAACAACGGGCTTTGTCACCGGTGGAGAGGGAAGTGGGTGGCGAAGTGTGAAATCGTCACAGACAAAGTCATGAAGGGTAGAAATTTTGAAATGAATGAATGGGTTTGGGTCAACAATTGATTCAATTGAATTTTGATATGAATCGGTCTAAAACGGGTCATGACCTTGCACAATTGGACTTCTCTCTCTATGCTGGATCAAGAATTGAGTTACTTGGTTAAACAAATTTTTTTTTTTTTTTTTTTGGCCCAAAAATCCAGTGCGGGCAGATGGACATATAGTGGCTCCGTCCCTGCTTACCGAAACCCCACAAATAGGGGTGGGGCCTGCATTTCTTTAGCATAACCATTTTTAAATGTTCTACACAATTTGTGTATATTCATATGCCCTCCCTTGATAACAATTAGAAATGCATCCATGCAAATTACTCATTGCCCTGGTATGCATATAACCATTTAGTAGCAAAATAAGGCTATTAGTGTTGCATATTCATATTACTGCGGTATATAGAAATTGGTATTATACCCTTTGCATTCATGCCTTGACTTAGTAGAGACATTGTTAAGTTCATAGGAAGCTTAAGTAGCATCTTTCCTACCAATCTAGAGTTCGTAACCAGGAAACCTAGATTTCTCCGGCACAAGCATATCAAACCACAGGCAAGCAGCCCCAGCTAATCCTTGGAAAAGAGAACATGCGTGATCATCTCCATCATAACGTGTATCAGCAATAGTTTTTCTTACATTGTGATACAAGTAGCTCGCGAATGCCTTTGCTCGGTTTTCATATACACTATCTCCCGTGAGCCGGGAGAGAGAGAGGAAGACATAAGCATTCCCGGAAGAGCCATCGGCCAGTCCCACCTTCTTGAGTAACCCATTCTTCCAAACAACTTCCCCGGCTTCAATGGCTGCATCGCGAAATTCTCTGTTATTCGGTAACACCTGCAAAAGTACAATGTCGAATTAGAACAAACACAGTGCAAATACCCGCATGCTCTAGACCACTGGGGTTTTCAACCATGTTTGGCTATGCTTAAAAGCCACTTAGTTTTATTTTAGAGTAAACTTTTTTGTTACCAAATATGACTCCACAAGTTAGTTTTTTCTTATCTTACTGGTAAATAAGTGAAAAATATGCCCTCCACAATGCCATTAGATTGCCATATGTTTTAGTAAACTACAGACCTCTGAAGCTTTACACAGGGTAAGGGCTACGCCAGCCGCTCCATGGGACCACTGCACCAGCTGATCCCTCGGGTTTCCTTCGCTAACGGGATAATTCCCGCTGTGAGGAAACCTGTTGCTCATCATGTATCTCAAAGTTGCCTTGACATCATCAATATCATCATTCAAGAGAGAGAAATGCAGCAATACGTGCAAAATACCAGCCAGTCCATGAGCAGCACCCCAATACCGTGTTCCATGCCATCTATACATGAGCGGGCAGGCCGTATTATCAGATGCACCAGCCCTTCCCCCTGTTAGCACGGCTTCAACAACAGGCATGAGAAGATCACTCGGTACCACTTCGGCTCCTAAGTACTTATTTATAAATAAAGCAGCCCACAAGAAACCGGCCCGTCCGAAGAGGAGATCGTAAGACATTCCCAACCCTCCTTCTTCTGGTCCAACCGGGAGGGCTTTTTCTTCCGCCATCTAAAAAATGAAGATTATGTAAGTATGTAAAAATGCCGTGTTTAAAAGATACAGAAAGCTACAAGGTTCTAAAATGGAAGCTTAGTACATAGGATTGTGTCTTAGACTGTAATGCTATCTAGGTGTTAAAAGATATAAAAATATCAGACGGGACATTTTCTTGCATTTCATTCATTCATAACACACTTAATCATGTTCCAATTGAGCTCCAATTCCATCTTGACAAAACATACTCACAGACTGAAAAACGGACTATTAAGAGATTATATATGTGACAATTTGAAATGTCTTCAGGGATGAACATCAACGAGCAAATAGTCCCTTATTAGCACAGAAAGAACAAATTTTCAAAGTAGATTGGAGATCCTTCCATGTTCAAATAATCAAACCAAAGATATGGAACAACTTCTAACGCGTGTCCTCGTAGCTTTGAGTTGAGTGACAATTTCACATAAATGGTTAAGCAATGCAATGGAATAACTTCTAACGCGTGTCCTCGTATCTTTGAGCTGAGTGACAAATTCACATAAATGGTTAAGCAATGTAAGGCCCGGAAGACAATGATGTCTATGACCAAAGATTATACAAACTCAACACTTTAAAATTGTCAAATATCTTACCACAATCTTATTTAATATCTGCGTTTAACAAAGCATCCCAGGTTAGTTTTGTCCCTGATAATTAGATACTGCATCCACTTTTTGTCCTTACTGATGACAAAAGATAAAGGACCACAAATATCATTGACACTCGATGGTCCAAGGAATAGATGAAGACATGCATATTCAATACGATTTATCTGTCTTTTCTTACCAGTTAGGCCCGTTCATGCGGAATAAATTCATAATATTCAATAGACGATTCGACAGATGCTATACCTCCAGAAAACGTGTGACATAGAAGTCGCGTTTCATTAGGTCCCCACAATAATTTGCAGCCACAGCACCAAGAGCATAGACGCCTCCTCGACCGCAAAGAAAAGTCAGGTGCCTGAATATGCCATAGAAAAATCTGAGATAATTGAGATATAATTGACACAATTTATGAAACCAACATCACAAATATGAACATCATTGTACAATGTAATACGTCACTTCAAACAGACAGAACCAGAAAAAGGGAAACTAAATTAATTTATGTACTAGTTAGTCTACTACGCTTGGGAAAACAGGAAGAAAAAATTTCAAAAATTCCAAAGGCGATATTTGGCTAAGCTTTCAAAGTTCACTTGTAAGTATATAAGTAACTTATGAAATAGATAAGTACTTTTATTGATCAAAATTTATTTGGACTCTATGCTAAGAATTACTTTCAAAATAAGTAACCTTTTTACTGTTTGAGATACAACTTATATAAATATGTTCAGAAATAAAAAGTAGATTAAATATAACTTTTACTCATTTTGAAGCATAGCTAAACATGCTTGAACTGAAGGAAAATATCAAACATGAGCGAGCAACTTGAATTTATATTTCTTTTTGTTCCAATAAAAGACAAATTAGTCCATTTGAAACAGGGAAATAAGAATAGCTGATCTTTGGTTGAATTACGAAAGATGCAGAGGTCCCAAAAATAAGACCACATGACTGAATGGATCTTAAGAGCCCAAACATTACTTGCTTCCGATTCTTTTACTTCTTAAACCATATTTTGTACTTCTCCGAGTCAAATGTCTTGTTTTGGTGGACGACCAAAGTGTTTACCCTCTTTTCTTCCTCTCAAATCGAGCCCAGACAAAGCCTAAACTAAATCATCAAATAGGATATTTGTACACAATTTTTACAAGAAGTTGAAGATGAATCTTAAACTCAAGACCTTTGCCTGAACACTCGACAAACTTATTTTAGTTAAATTAAATATTGAATAGACTATCAAATCCACAATGCCATTAGATGGTCATATCACACATTCCTAGCATAATTCACATCTCTCTGAATATTATTGAAACAATCAACACAATTTTTAAAGACCAATGCATATGACTCTAAATTCCTAACCCTTGGAGCAATTTTAAGTGACTCTTTAAATATGAAATGCTCTATATCATATTTAAAGAGTCGACACTTAAAATCATATTTCAAGATACTTTTTAAATAAACATTTTAATTAACAGAGTTTGGATCTCCAACCACTCTCCAAAGTACTTCAATTTCAAATTTAAGAAAAATAATATAGTAATATAGAGAAAAGTTGGTTAGAATAAAATTAAAAAAATAAAGAAAAAAGATTGAAATAATAAATATTTTTTTAGAGTAGTAAAATTAAGTGTTAAATATAAAGAGCACGCTTGAGTACCTCTCTAAATTTATAGAAACTCTATAAATGATAAAATATGTCTCGGGAAGATACTATTAAATAATGTTATCCATTACCTAACATCTATTTCTCTCTTTGCACCTTCGTTTAGTTAAATTAATATTCTAAATTAAAAAATTGTAAGTACATTCTCATGTAATCAACCCCAAAAAATTATAAAAAGCACTCGGCATTATTAAATTAAAAAATAAATAAATTACTCCACCTGGCAGAGGAATGAGCCACGGCAGCGCAGGCGTCCACGATCTCGACGCACAATTGCAGGTCTCGGTGGTTACCGGTGGCCTCATGAGATCTCAAGCAGGTGAAAGCTGCACCCAGAAGACCCGTATACACTGTCGGGTCAAAGCTCCCATTACTGCCCCGACCTTTCCACGTCACTTCCACAACCTGATTTCATAAGTATGTCATCAATTTCACACTCATAATTCCAAACCCAAAAAACATCGTACACAGGAAACCATCGCGGTCGATCGAAATTAAGGCGCTATTAAACTAAACATAAGCTAGATAATTATATTTTTGTAAGAATTTAACACCCACAATCTAAACCCACAAAAAGTTTTACAGTGTACAGAGCAAATAATCGCTTTACTATCCGAATAAACCATATTAATAAGTTTAAAAAAAATATATTTATTATACCTTGTCCTTGAGAGAAATTGCAGCTTTGAGAAAAGTCTCAGCTGGAAGTGAGAGGTTTGGAGCCGTTGGATCACCTGCGTGGATCATATCAAACAGTTCTTGATTCCCTTCTTCATGATTACTTTCTTGAGAAGCAAATTTTACCACAGAAGACGACATTCTCTACTTGGGAAACTTTGCTCTCAGATATCTATCAAATTAAGGCCAGAATAATTATGGGTTTATGCGCGCGCACACATATATATATATGGGCATTCTACAAGTACATAGGGTGTCCCCCTATTGGAGGGGGGCGCCGGTGGGCCAGGCGCCCCCTCCAATAGGGGGCCGCCGGGTGTCCATTATGGACACCCTTAGGTAACCCCCTATGTTCAACAAGATTTATCCTATATATATAGGGCCCTCAGGGGTCTTTGAAATCTAAACGGAGAAGGAAACGTGTGCGCCTGTGTAAAGAAAAACATTGAAGGCCCCCAACTTTGATTAAAATTTCATTTTAGTCACTAGTTTTTTTTAATTCTAAATTTTTCACTGAATTTCAATATTGTTTCAGTTTGGTCATCAGCATTCTGTCAATTATGACATTCCTTCTCTGCCATTTCACACTTCAAAAGGTCCCAAGTTCTAATTATGTCCCACTATCTCAATAAACTAATATCAGGAGAGGTTCATACAAGAAAATCCTTGTGCATGACATGTATCTATAAAATTTTTCAAGAAAATTATTATTAACTTAAGAAATTGAAATTTTGATTGTTTAGTAATGTAATAATTGCATTTTAACTTGTAAGATTGAGCTTCATGAAACGAGAATCACGACTATGGCCCCGTTTGGCAGGAATTTTTTGCTCCAAAAAATTGATTTTTTGACCGTTATTTTATAATTCAAGCCGTAATTTTTGACTTCTTCTCTCACATGTGGACCCCACTTTTCTTCTAACGGTCAAAAAATCAATTCTCAAAATCCCTACCAAACGGGCCCTATGTTAATAATCAATTTTATGTTAAAAATGTAAATTTAAAATATCAAATTGTTAGGAATAGCAACTAACAACATACTAAAATAATGACAAATCAGTCCATAATGCAACTAAAGATATTAAGCCTCGACTCGTAGCAACATTTTGACCGTTATATCACTATTTCAATCCTTATTTTTGATTTCTTTACTCACTAGTGATACCCAATTTTCTCTCTAACGGTTAAAAAATTAATTCTCATAATCGAACATGTTCTTAAGTTCTTGTAAGATCATCATTTTTCTTAAACTAATTCCAACCACACATCTTATAGAATCCACAACTCTTATTAATCTTTTGATCATTTATTTTATCCATTTTTATAATCATTTACTACAAATTTGATTTTTATTTAAACCAAACACGACCTAACTTCTGTGACTAAATTGTTTTTTATGGTTAATAAATTAAAGTGCAACTGAAACTTCACGAGAATCACGCAGCCCTGTTAAAATATTTAAATTATATTGTATTATTAATGAAGATAAGAATACAGGTTTTTGTCAATTAAATTATCATAAAGTCTTATTTAAAGAAAGGTATTGCTGAAGTGATATAATTCTTTAATTATAGAATTGAAGTGCAAGTAAATGAGCAAAGTTCAAATTGAGGAGGAAATTTACTTCAGATAAAAATTATTCTTCATAGATTTTGATAAAGTTGATAAACAATTTATGATCGAAAAATTTGTGAATATCATGAAATATATGATTGAAATTAATTATTGACTTTAACTTAATTTTTTAATAAAGTTTTAAGCTACACCAAACAAGGACTTACTCCAATTCAATTAATATATAAGGATGTCAAGTTAAATTATGTCTATGATATACAAAGAGTTCTACACGAATTTGAAATGATCGAGTCCCAACTAAATTAAACTAGAATTTTTGTTTTGAGGCATAAATACGTCATTTGTCGAAGTTATTCATTTAATTATCACATCATCATTTTGAATTTATTGAGATATGGGGACTATTAGATCATTGCCCTAAGACTTTTATTTCAAGTTATTCAAATTTATAAAAGTTCCGTGTCAAAAACTCGATGAGCCAAACTTATTGAGAAATGAGAGACCAATGGAACAGTATATTTTTTATTTAATATTTTTTATGTAATTAAATAAAATACGTTCCCACGGAACATGTCCCCGTTTGGCCTACATTCTTTCCAAATTTTAATAGTTGGAATAGTATTTTTTGAAAAATGTGTAGTTGAAAAAGAAAGAAAAATTTTCAATTTGCGTGTAGTATTATTTTATGAAAAATTGTGTAATTGAAAATAATAGAAAGAAAAAGAATGGGGGCCAAACGGGATTTATTCAACATAGTTCCAATGATGTGTACAATTTAAAATGTGCTCTTATGCTCACCCTCTCTAGAGAAAACACATGATTGATCAAAATTCAAATTTATATTATTTAGCACCTTTTTTTTTTTTTTTACCTTAGAGTGCCCTCTTGAAAATGGGTCCCACTATCAAATACTAAGCTTTAAAAAAAAAAAAAATGTTGCTGCCTTGCCAACTGCCCAAAAACTTATTAAAATGAGGATTAAAATGAGAAACAAACAGGCTCTAAATTTGAAAAGTGACGGGAAACATTTTTACATAATTTTTGCTTTAAACATTTTTGCGTTGTGGCTTTGAAGTTATAGTAGTTTGAATACGTGGATGCGAGTAGATATGTTATATATTGAATATAGTAAATATATTTGTTTGCATATTATATGTTATAAATTGTATATAAGAAATTTGTGTTACATTTATGTATTAAAAATAATATGATATTGCTTAATCACAGACATATACGGCTTGTTTAGAAGGAATTTTTTACCCCAAAAAATTGATTTTTTGACTGTTATTTCACTATTTCATTCGTAATTTTTGACTTCTTCTCTCACACGTGGACCCCGCTTTTCTTCTAACGGTCAAAAAATTAATTCTCAAAATCCCTCCCAAACGGGGCCATATTCTAATTCAATTCACTGCTCAAAATAAAATAGTCAATAAAATTCTCAACACCAAAAACATTTGCATACTTTTATCTAGAAATTGAAACATTGAATTTTACAGAAACACGTGCGTATAACTTTCTAAAATGACCCGTTTGTATTCACGTCCATATAATCTATAAATAATAAATATTAGCACGTGCATAAAACGTGTAATATAGGCTGTATATAATAATTGTACCTAACACTTATCCATGAGAATCGAGTTTGGATTAGGTCGGTTCACAAACGTGATGTACAACTTGGCCTTTTTTTTTTTTTTAATAAATGGATTAAACATATTTTTAATTATATATTTCGAATAATTATAACTTATATTTAAATATGTTGTAGGACATTGTGCATATGGATAAAGATATTTGTATCGGGGGGGAGTTTGTGCATATGGATAAAGATATTTGTATAGAGGGGGGTGTACTGAACCGTTTAGTATTCATACCTAAATGATTTGGAACTCACAAAATAGTGACTCGTTTGAATATATTGATTTTGAAATTTGATAACTACTTGATCTTTAAATGAATCAAATTGTTCGTTCAAACTTTTTAAAAGGAGTAGGTGAAATCCTTTTATAATATTATTTGAATATTTATTCACATGTAGATTTCTATCATAACGATGAATACAATTTTATTTTTTTTATTTTTTAATATTTATAATAATTAAGTTGAAGAAAGTGGATTTGAGTTAAAAGATGAGGATCATTTTTTTTTCTTCTTCAGATTTTTAGTTTGGTTCAATCAAATCAGTTATGAATTTGATTGGTACAAAACTTGATAATAATTCCATATTTTTTTGGATACAAAATACACTCCATGCAAGTAAAACCTGTTGTGAATGCATGTTTGGCAGAGCTTAAATTTCTTAAATACTTATAAGTTGTAAATAATACAAAATGTATAAATAATAAATTGTATGTCCTACAAAATGTGTAAATAAAAATTATAATTGATTATTAAATAAAGAACGTAGGCAAACGTGGATGATATTGACAAAAGTTGTCAAATAAAAATAATTATGCTTGGAGATAATGTAAATATTGTGCTAGCTGTCATTCGAAAGAATGATCTTGCTTCCTATAAGATGTCATTGTTTTAAATGTTGAAATGACGTTTTAACAACCAATAATAAATCCTTTTCAAGGGAAATTCATGTTTCTCAACAATGCAAGTGAAAAAAATAAGCAACATTTTGTTTATTATACGTTATGAAATTTGGTCTTCAATTCGTTTACTTATATTATTGAATTAGTCTAGTAGTACATAATGAGATGTACCTAAGAGTGTACACCCCCCTTAAATGGGGTGTGCGATCCACCGGAATAAGTGTTTTTTATTCGGTTGAATCTCACACACCATGTGAGAGGAGTATACACGCTTAAGTACACTCCTATGTACCATTAACACCATCGGATATTATTTGTTTGATAAAACTTTATAAAGTTCTATTAATATTTTAACTTTATGTTCTTGGGCTAACCCACGTAGCTTTGATATTCAAGGGAAATACATGAAATTGACCCAAATAAGAGAGATTATTTTCTAAAATGGCCCTTGACTTTTCCAAACATTTGGAACTACCTAAAATACCCTTAAACAAATAATAAAAATCTTCTATCTAAATCCTTAAAAAATTAACAAGTAATTTTTCTAAAAATTTGAAAGAATTATTAATGAATAATTATAAAATAAAAAAACCCAAATATAAAAGAGGACCATATAATATAAAAGAGGTTGTTAAAAGTAAAAAATAAATTAAGTTTGAAATAGAAATGGATAAGATAGGATATCAAGAACAATTATATGCATCACAAGAAATATTAAAATATTTCAAAGAAAACTTATTAGAAAATTTTGTTAAAGGAATTGTAAGATCAATAATTATAAAAGATATACAAGATATCATAGATAAATTAGCAAAAAGGAAAAAAAATATCTCAAAATACGATATACCTTTTAGAACAGACATAGATATGATAACAGATATTGATATTATAAATTCTCAGACATTACTAGACTTTGAAGAATTACTTAAAAATTTATGAGAAGACCAATAAAAAATAGATTACCACAAGCCTATAAAAAATTAATTTTTAACCTTACATTAAGATTTTATATACGCTTAATAACAAATAAATTAATTAAAGCAAAAATAAAAGAATTTTTAGGATATTAGAATATTATATTTGTGATTATTAGATTAT